GAGTTCTCAATAAGGCATGGATTTAATAAAAACTATTTTATGAGTTTTTAATAAGGCGTGGATTTAATAAATATTATTTTTTATCCATCAATAACGCGTGGATTTAATAAAAAACACGTGAAAAAGCGTTAAGTTCGGCCGGGGCGAACTTTGGATACCCTCCATTAGAAATGAAAATATAGGGAACATACCAAAAAGTGGACCTATACCGACATTTCTGAAAACGGATAATAATACAAATTTCAGTAAATTTGTAATGGATAATTGTACCCTCAGCCTTATGGCTAATGAGCGTGTATACACTTTAACACGGTGAAAATGTGGCGCATCGAAATATTGGTTCTACTTCAAATTCGAAGATGGGCAATATCGGTCCACTTTTTCTGGAACCTCCATACAGGGGCTAGGTCTAAATGCGGGCTATAGTTCATTATAGAACCTTACATTCTACTTTTTTTATCTCGATACCCTCCGTAGGTGAAATGATTACATCAGAGTCTTAGAACCAAACTCAAAACGCGGAACAAATCAGATAACCATTTTATTATAAACCAGTGAGCGGAGCAGTATAGTCGGACACAACTTACATGAAAATATAACTTTCTGTGGTTCTATATTCTGAGATTGGGCAATATTTCGCGATATTTTCACACTTTTGAATGTTACTAATAATAAGTACAGCCCCTCTAATTACTTGTCCATATTCCCTTCACCGTTGGTTGTGTTGTGATGTTCGACTTTCGACTCGAAAAGTACAAATAATTAAGTTTTCGGCCCACTTCATCCAAAAAATTTTTATCTGATCATCACCTATCATTTTAGGCGTTGTTCTTGACCATAACTGGAACCTCATGGAACATTTCAAAGCCATCAGGACTATATTTCCGCCCTCCAGTGTGGTAATAGGTTACTAAATAATATATGAATACGTAAGCACCAGTTAATATTTAAGTGTAACTCCCACATCGGAGTACCTACGACAATATAATTGGTATCAATTTAAAGGTCAACCACTCCTCTTGGATATACTATCACCTTCTCGGGTCTATGTCCTTCAGGAGTAAATATATTCGCCATAGAATACAAATTTTGTAATTTTCCACACAAACGTCAGGGTCCATTTGACCCGCTAAATATTGACCGATCTTTATCAAAACAAGTATACTTATTCTTTGGTCCGATACCCTTCTCCATGTAAAAATCGAGATGTTTGGGCCATAACTGCGCCCTCTGGAGCAACCAGAAAAACCGACAAAAATTAAGTATTTGGTCCATTTCATCCCCTAAATATTCTTTACCAAAAACAATAGGGGTCTTCATTGGTCAGAATCCATGAAGATTGGTTCATAACTGTGGCCTGTATCGTGTTTACAATTTATAATGGACAGACGGACGGACACACATATCTAGTCTAGGTCCAATATTTCGCAGCGTTACAAACTCTTGGGGCTGCACAAAGCTATAATACCCTGCCAACATAGTTGTATAGAGTATAAAAATGGGGTTATATGGGGACTGCCCCAAATAGGGGGAAATATTAATAATTTTTGGAAAGGAAATTTGTTACCATATACGACTACAAAATACCAAATTGCAGCAAATTCGGTTGAAAAACGCACTCAAGAACACCAAAATACCGAAAATTGGGGGTACCCTTATATGGGGGCTATGCCTAAAAGTAGACCGATAAAGCCCATCTTCGAACTTGACCTGCCTGCAAAACAAAAAAGCTATGCAAAATTTTGGCGATCTATCTCAATTCGTTTAGACGCTAGAGTGATTACAACAGACAGACGGGCATGGCTATATCGTCATAGATCTAAGAAAGTCCAATTAAAAAATTATTAAAAATATTTACGCTTAGAGCTGCGAAAGTCTGTGAAAGTCTCCTCAAAACTATTTTTCAAAAATTCAACCTTATAGTACTATCGAACGGATTTTCCTTCAAACAAAAACATTATTTTTTGACCACACCTAACATTCAAAATCTAACTGTACTGGTATTCCATGCAAACATATTCATTATCAAGGTCTTTATCATGTATAGAATTCACCTGTCCTTTATAACTCCCACTAATGTATATATTTCGTTTCTAACCGTCTGGTGGCCATGGACTCTGGTGTGTGTGGGTAATAATTAAATTTTGTGATTGTAGAAATTTCGTCGTATTATCGCTCGACAAATACCCTCTATTACTGATCAAATAACATATAATAAAAATGCTACTTGAAATATTTAATAGATCGTTTATTCTCGGTGACTAATCCGGTGATAGGCCACTTTAAATTTTGAAGTTGTTGATAGTGACAATAAAGTGGTTAGCTAAAAATAAACAATGAAAAAATTATGAATAATACAACGGTCTGAAAAGTTGTGGTATGTATATATATACCACAACTACCACGATATATATATATATATATATATATATATACATATGTGTGGACTATTTGAAATGAAGGAAAATTAACATCTAATACAAGGATGTTCGGAAATCAGTAAAAATAAAATCAGTAAGGAAAGTAGTCGGGCTGGACCGACTATATGATACCCTTCACCACTTTGGGTATATTCTACATATGTATCCTTACAATTGTATGTCAATGTTCCCTTGAAGGAACATACTTATGTCTTTCTGCAAGCTATGATAAATTTAATTTCATTCGGACAGATTTAGAGTCGTCTGTGTACCATGGGACAAATTTATGGAAAACGATTTATAGCAAAATTGATACATGCTATTCGGTACGCCGCAGTGTTAAAAAATTAATCTCAATAAGACACCCGATCGAAATAAATATGGAAGCTGCATCTGCACCAATTTCAACAAAACCCAATAACGTCTATCAAGTCTCAATTTGATACGATGTGCAAAATTTCGGCTATATCTAAATCTGAACCGATTTTCACGAAAGATAGCACACATCATTTTAGACTCTATTCAGTATGCTGTGACAAATTTCGTGCAAATTGAAGAATGAATAAGGTCATTGGTGCACCATTTACATTAAATCGGACGAATATATCTATTGGAGCTATATCTAAATCTGGACCAATTTCCAGGAAACTTAACATACATCATTCTAGGCTCAATTCAGAACGCTATGACAAATTTCGTGCAAATCGAAAGATATATAGGGTCTTTGGTGCCCCTTTTACATTAAATCGGACGGCAATATATATGGAAGTTATATCTAAATCTGGACCGATTTTCACGAAACTTGGCAGACATCATTCTTGGCTTAATTCAATAGGTTGTGTCAGATTTCGTGCAAATCGAAAGATATATACGTACTTTGCTGCACCATTTACCTTAAATCAGACGAAAATATATATGGGAGCTATATCTAAATCTGAACCGATTTTCACGAAACTTGGCAGACATCACTCTAGGCTCAATTCAGTACGTTATGCCAAATTTCGGTCCAATTGAAAGATATTTAGGGACATTGGTGCACCATTTATATTAAATCGGACGAAAATATATATGGGAGCTATATCTAGATCTTAACCGATTTTCACGAAACTTGGCAGACATCATTCTAGGCTCAATTCAGTACGTTATGCCAAACTTCGTGCAAATCGGAGAATATATAGGGACATTGCTGCACCATTTACATTAAATCGAACTAAAAATATATAAGGGAGCTATGTCTATATCTGGACCGATTTTCACGAAACTTGGCAGACATCATTCTAGGCTTAATTCAGTACGTTGTGTTAGATTTCGTGCAAATCGAAAGATATTTAGGCACATTGGTGCACCATTTACATAAAATCGGAAAAACTATATATATGAGAGCTATATCTAAATCTGAACCGATTTTCACGAAACTTGGCAGACATCATCCTCGGCTAAATTCAGTACGTTGTGCCAAATTTCGTGCAAATCGGAGAATATATAGGGACATTGCTGCACCATTTACATTAAATCGGACGAAACTATATATGGGAGCTACATCTAAATCTGGACCGATTTTCAAGAAACTTGACACACATCATTCTAGGCTTAATTCAGTACGTTGTGCCAAATCGTGCAAATCGAGAGATATATAGGGACTTTGGTGCACCATTTACATAAAATCGGACGAAACTATATATATGAGAGCTATATCTAAATCTGAACCGATCTGTCCCAATTTCAATAGGGTTCGTCGTTGGGCTTAATAGATGAGCTGCGCCATATTTCATCCAATTCGGATTATAAATGCGACTTTTATAATTTAACACCAACAGACATGTATAAATCGACCAACAGGCATGTATAAATCGACTCAGAAAGTGATTCTATGCATATTCTCAGAAGGAACTATGGGTCGATCTCGTTTCCTTTTGCCTGTTACAAACATATGCACAAAGGCAAAATTCACGCCTTGATAGAGAATCAAAAAATAATTCTTAAAAAATCAAGCCTTAATATAGAGTCAAAAAATAATTTAAAAAAAAACTCCATTCCTTGAGAGTCATAACTTTTCAGCCCACACCTACCTATCGCCCAGTTAAACAACTTGAAATTAATTGTTCTTTTTTATTGATTGCGATATATTGTGAACTACAAATCCATTTAGTTGTTGTCCATTGAAATTTTATGGCTGATAATGGTAATCGCGATCTGTCTTGTTTTCATATCGGATGATAATTCCCTATTAATATACTACAGGCAATTCAGGTGGCCCTAAAATAAATTTGCGATTAAATGCAATGAATTATGTTGGACAATAACAACTACGCCAATAATTCTTAGAATGCACAGCAAAACACAAAAAGAAGTCCATTGACAACACGATACGAGTTAGAAGTTACTATTGTATTTTGTTTGTTTGATTTCTATTCGAAACGAATCGATTTGAAAAATTTGCGACGACGACAGTCATATCAAAATTGCTTCGCTTGATTCGTTAATTACTACTGGCATTGTAAAACAAATGAAATACAAACATCGTCATTATTAATTAATCTCAATTTGTTTCATTTCAATTTCATCGTTACCCGCCTCAAGATGTGCTGTCGCTGTTGTTCCAAGACTCAGCAAAAAATATGGGTATTTGGTACGGCCTCCATATTCCTGGTAATGGGATTAGTGGGTATTATATTGGGACGTAGCTATTTCACCGATATGGTGTATAAGGTAAATATTCTATAATTAAATATTAATAATTAAAAAAAAATATTCAAAATAATTCATTTTCTAATTTTTTTTAGATGCTACCCTTAAAGGAAGGCGGCCGCACCTATGACAAGTGGGTCGAAACACCGGTACCAATTTATATGGCCATGTACCTATACAATTGGACAAATACCGATCAGGTGAAAGTGCGTGGAGTAAAACCCAATTTTGAACGTGTCGGTCCTTATGTGTTTCGTGAGGAGAGACATAAAAAGAATATCACCTGGTATCCGAATAATACAGTTTCCTTTATGCCGCAACGTTATTGGTATTTTGAACCGGAAATGTCCGGTGGAACATTGGAGGATAATATTACCTGTCCTCATTTGCCAACAATTGTAAGTAAATAAAATGTTCTTTAAGCAACATTTGATGTAGATTTTATTCCCGAACAAATTTTAGAGGATATTTTTCAAGGATTTTTTAAAGAATATTTTTTTCAAGGACTATTATAAGAGTAGATTTTTCTCAAGGTCTATTTAAAGCGAGGATTTTTTAAAGAATATTTTTTCAAGAACCATCCGAGGCGTAGATTTGTTAAAGAATATTTTTTCAAGAACCATCCGTAAAAGAATATTTTTCCAGGGACCATCCGAGGCGTGGATTTATTAAAGAATATTTTTTCAAGAACCATCCGAGGCGTGGATTTATTAAAGAAAAAGTTTTGAAGGACTATTATAGGCGTGGATTTGTAAAAGAATATTTTTCCAGGGACCATCCGAGGCGTGGATTTATTAAAGAATATTTTTTCAAGAACCATCCGAGGCGTGGATTTATTAAAGAATATTTTTTTCAAGAACCATCCGAGGCGTGGATTTATTAAAGAATATTTTTTCAAGAACCATCCGAGGCGTGGATTTATTAAAGAATATTTTTTCAAGAACCATCCGAGGCGTGGATTTATTAAAGAATATTTTTTCAAGAACCATCCGAGGCGTGGATTTATTAAAGAATATTTTTTCAAGGACCATAACAAGGCGTGGATTTTTTAAAGAATATTTTTTCAAGGACCATAACAAGGCGTGGATTTTTTAAAGAATATTTTTTCAAGGACCATAACAAGGCGTGGATTTTTTAAAGAATATTTTTTCAAGGACCATAACAAGGGGTGGATTTTTTAAAGAATAATTTTTCAAGGACCATAACAAGGCGTGGATTTTTTAAAGAATATTTTTTCAAGGACCATAACAAGGCGTGGATTTTTTAAAGAATATTTTTTCAAGGACCATAACAAGGCGTGGATTTATTAAAGAATATTTTTTTCAAGGACCATAACAAGGCGTGGATTTTTTAAAGAATATTTTTTCAAGGACCATAACAAGGCGTGGATTTATTAAAGAATATTTTTTCAAGAACCATCTGAGGCGTGGATTTATTAAGAACCATCCGAGGCGTGGATTTATTAAAGAATATTTTTTCAAGAACCATCCGAGGCGTGGATTTATTAAAGAATATTTTTTCAAGAACCATCCGAGGCGTGGATTTATTAAAGAATATTTTTTCAAGAACCATCCGAGGCGTGGATTTATTAAAGAATATTTTTTCAAGAACCATCCGAGGCGTGGATTTATTAAAGAATATTTTTTCAAGAACCATCCGAGGCGTGGATTTATTAAAGAATATTTTTTCAAGAACCATCCGAGGCGTGGATTTATTAAAGAATATTTTTTCAACAACCATCTGAGGCGTGGATTTATTAAAGAATATTTTTTCAAGGACCATCCGAGGCGTGGATTTATTAAAGAATATTTTTTTCAACAACCATCTGAGGCGTGGATTTATTAAAGAATATTTTTTCAACAACCATCTGAGGCGTGGATTTATTAAAGAATATTTTTTTCAAGAACCATCCGAGGCGTGGATTTATTAAAGAATATTTTTTTCAAATTTATCCGAGGCATGAATTTTTTAAAGAATATTTTTTTCAAGAACCATCTTCAGGCGTAAATTTATTAAAGAATATTTTTTTCAAGAACAAGAACATCCGAGGCGTGGATTTATTAAAGAATATTTTTCAAGGGCCAACTGAGGCGTGGATTTATTAAAGAATATTTCTTACAAGGTCTATTTAAGGCGTTTTCTAAAAGGTTATTTTTATGGGGAAAGGTCAGTAAATTGTTTGTTTTTATTTTCCACACAATTCGATAATCATTGCATCATAAATATTTGACGATTTGAATATAATTCAAGTTCAGCATGAACTTAAAAGCGCTATATAGCTATTCCATCGCTTAATCACAAATGCATGTGACCGACATTCTTCATCTTCTGTTCATTCACCGTGTGCATATTCGTATTATGGAATATCAGAAGCCATTGTCGATAACCCATGAAGATCGACGGGCATGTGTCCCTCTTATGTATAATTGTTGTTTATAAATTATGTTATGGTTTTATTATTCTTAATCGCTTAAATAAAAAAAAATAAGAATAAACGATTAAGTGGCTATAATTAGCAGATTCTTATCGTATACCCAGTTATAATTCTAAGTGTTTGCAGCTGTGAGATTTAATGCAAAGAATCTAAACTTGGGAATATTTTATTCTACTTGTATTTGATAATTTTTGCAGATAAATTACAATTTATTTGGAAATGTCTATTTAACCTGTCCGAAAACTTTCTATAAGGCCATATTATTGCTTTAATCATTTTTTTTTTTCATACACAAGTCATAGTTATAAAATAATTTCTAATTGCCCTTGAGTTGCAATTAAAGGCAAAGTTACAAAAAAAAAAAAAAATCCCATAAATCGTGATGAAATTCTTAGTAAGCAAAATTATAGAAAATACAACAATTTATTTTATTTATTATAATTGCAAATGCCACAATTATGGCCCGAACGTGGCGCAATTTTACATGGAGAAAGGGATCGGGCTAAAGAATAAGCATGCCTGTTTTGATAAAGATAGGTCAATATTTAGCGGGTCAAATGGACCCTGACTTTTGTGTGAAAAATTGCAAAATTAGTATTCTATGGTGTATATATTGACCCCTGAAGAACAAAGACCCAAGAAGTGGATAGCATATCCAAGAGGAGTGTTTGACCTTTAAATTGATACCAATTATTATTGTCGTATGTATTCAGATGTGGAAGTTGCACTTAAATATTTACAGGTGCTTGCGTATTCAGATATTCAGCGCTGTCCGCTTTGAAATTTTCCATGACGATCCAGGTATGGTCAAGGACAACCCCTATAATTTTTGGTGATGATCGGATAATAATTTTGGGATGAAGTGGACCGAAAACTTATTTTTTTGTATTTTTCAAGTCGATCTATAGCCACAATTGAAAGCTGAACGTCACAAAACAACGTTGAAGGGAATCTACACAAGTAATTTCAAATTACTGACTATTAGTAATATTTGTTAACCTCTAGTCGGTCAAGAGGGTGCAAATATCTCGAAATATTAACCAACCTCAGAATGTAGAACAACAGAAAGTTAGATTTTCGAGGAAGTTGTATAGGGTATTATATGGTCGGCCCCCTCCGACTATACTGCTCCGCTCCCTGGTTTTAATATATTTAAAAAAATATTTTTTCAGGTATTATTATTAAATTAGGCGTGGATTTTTTAAAATTATTTTTTTCAGCAACTACCTTTAGGCGAGAATTTTTTAAAATTATTTTTTTCAGCAACTATCTTAAGGCAAGAATTTTTTAAAAATATTTTTTCAGGGACTACGATTACTTACTTAAGCCGCGCTTAAAAAAGGTTTCCGCGCTTAAAAGATTATGCGCATCTCCACCAATTCGAAAGACCACGTTATAAGTTGTTGTTTTCTACTTGGTCTTTCCATCTGATTCGTGGCCTTCCCCTTCTACGGAATCATCAGTAGGCTCGCTTTTATATGCCTTTTGAGCTGGGACATTTTCATTTATTCGCACAACATAGCCTAGCCACCGTAGTCGCTGCAGCTCAATACGACTGACTATGTCAATGTCCGAGAATAGCTGGTGCAACTCATGGTGCGTTCCACTGCGATATTCACCGTCAACGCAGATCGGCCCATAGATCTTACGGATAAATTTTCTCTCAAACATCTGCTTGCGCAAGTACCCATGCTTCAGATCTATAAACAACACGGGTAGTATCAGCGTCTTGTAAAGTGTGAGTTTGATCTGGCGGGAGGTGGCCTTGCTTTTGAGTTGTTTGCTCAGACCATAGTAGCATCTGTTGGCCATCACAATTCTTCTCCGAATTTCAAAAATGATGTCATTCGTTTTATTTATGGCGATATATAAAATCCTTAACTACCTTGAAGTTCCAATCCTTAACTACCTCAAGTTCCAAAGTTGGTCCGAGTCTACTGGACGTCTTGCGCGTTGATACCATCATCTGGGTCTTCTCGCCGTTTACTGTCAGACCCACTTTGGCAGAATCCTTCTCAATTTGTTCAAAGCAATGTTCGACCCACTATATCGATGTTATCGGCGTAGGCGAGTAACATGTGTTGTTTAGTGTACAGAGTGCCATTTCTATTCACCTTTGCGTGTCGTATGACCTTTTCCAGCAGGATGATAAAAGGATCACATGACAAACTGTCACCTTGTCTGAATCCTCGTTCGGTTATGAAGGGTTCCGATAGGTCCTTTCCGACTTTAACTGCTGAACTTGTGCCACTTAAAGTTATCCTGCATAGCCGTATTAATTTTGCAGGAATGCCGAACGCGGCGAATGCGGTTTTATAGTCGACGAATAGGTGGTATGTGTCGATGTGTTTTTCGTGGGACTTTTCCAGGATTTGACGCAGAGTGAAAATCTGGTCAATGGTGGATTTACCAGGTTTGAAGCCGCATTGGTATGGTTCAATAATGTCATTGACCATTGGCTTCAATCGTTCACACAACACACTGGATAGCACTTTATATGCCATGGAAAGAGGACTAATTCCTCTGTAGTTGGCACATATCGTCTTGTCTCGTTTTTTGTGCACGGAACACAGGATGCTGACGTTCCAATCATTTGACATGCATTCCTCTAGCCAAATTGTAATAATCAGCTGGTGCATGCTCCTGGCCAGCATCTGACTACCAGCCTTGAATAGTTCGGCTTGTAACCCATCGGCACCTGCTGCTTTATTATTCTTCAGCCGACTAATTGCTTTTATGACCTCATCTTGGCTAGGTGGTATACACTCTATAACATCATCTCTGATTAGTTCTGGGGTATCTTCTTCACCGCCACTATTTGATACCAGAATCCTTTCAAAATGCTCCTTCCAGATCCTCAACACGCTGTCTGTAGCTGTCAACAGGTGTCCTTCTTCATCTCTACAGGAGGATATGCCTTCACCAAAATCTTCGGTTTGGTGTTTTACTCTTTTGTAAAATTTCCGGACTTCATACTGATTCCTCTACATCTCGATTTGTTCACTCTCACGTTTTTCTTTCTTTCTTCTTTTTTCGCCATTGTGCTTCTATACTATTATCGGGACAAGAAGTGCTTTCGTTAAGCAGGTGGGTAAGTTGAGCGGAGTAGGCCTCGGCTACCTGTTGTGTTTGCAGCTTTTCGACGTCGAGTTTCCGTGTTTTGCTGCAACATTAAGACGAATGCGTACCTTGGCTGCTACAAGGTAGTGGTCCGAATCGATATTGGCTCCTCGGATCGATCGAACGTCTAATACACTGGATGAATGCCTTTCGTCTATCACAACATGATCAATGTCTCGTTGATGTCTCGTTGCTTGATCAGGAGAAATCCAGGTGGCCTTGTGTATATCGAGATGCTTGAATCTGGTGCTGCTAACTACCATGTTTTTTGCTGCCGCGAAGTCAATCAACCTCAAGCCGTTGTCGTATGTTTCTTCATGAAGGCTGAATTCGGGCCAAAGATATTTTCCCTTCCGATTTTTGCATTAAAATCTCCTAGCAGTATTTGAATGTCATGGCCATGGCAGAGATCATATGCTGTTTCTAGGCGCTCAGAAAATATGTCTTTGGTCTGCTCATCTTTGTCTTCGGTCGGAGCATGTGCGCAAATAAGATTGATGTTGAAGAACTTCTATTTTATGCAGATTATAGTAACTCGCCCATCTACTGGAGTGAATCTGGAGACGAGGTATTTTATTCTCCTGTTGACCATAAATCCGCAACCAAATTCGTGTCTCGTTTCATGGCAGATATAATACAGTGCGAAATCGTCCGATTTACATACGCCTGTCCCTTTCCATCGCATTTCCTGTAAGGCAATAATATTGGCTTTGTATTTCTTGAGTACATCCGCCAAAGCGAGAACTGCGCCTGTCCTGTACAACGTGCGCACGTTCCAAGTGCAGATTCCCAGATCGTGGTCCTATATACGTTTGCGGGGGTCGTCAACATTAGGGGGTTTGGTTTACTTTTTCATAGTAGAAGGGGTTTTCCGAGTGTGGGCAACTAACCCGACGCCTCTACCCATTTTTTTATAGTTTTATATGGGTGAACTCGCGGCACATATTAGCTCACTATTTCATCGGGTGATGAAAATAGCTACCCCAGGTGACACCGCGGGGAGGTCTGTGTCCACAATTGCTATGAAAGAGGGACCAAGATAAGCCTGGACTTCGCCATGTTAAAGCCAATCAGAGCCGTTGCTTGGCATCTATCATCCCCTACGCCACTACAGGGACTACCATTAGGCGTGGATTTTTTAAAAATATTTTTAAGGGCCAAAATAAAGAGTGGATTTTTAACGATTATTTTTCAATGCCTAAAATTAAAAACAAATATTTTTTGATTCTTTTTAATTTGTTGTGCGTTTTAATTATATTTGTGGCCTTTAAAAAATTATATTTTTTGTTTTAAATTTCAGGCTGCCTCCACCATCGCTCGAGATTTCCCGAAAGTCATCAAAATCTTTTTCAATATTGCGCTGAATTCTAATGGTGGTGCATTGTATCAGACCCACACAGCCGATGAATGGTTATTCAAAGGATTCTACGATGAATTTTTGGACTATGCCATGAAATTGAATAATTCCATGACTGGTGATATAAAGGATAATCATTTTGCATGGTTCCTGCATCGTAATGGATCGGCAGATTTCGAAGGCATTTTCACCATCAACACTGGAGCCGCTGATCTACGTGAAATGGGAGAATTGAAATTCTGGAATGGTGTGAATCACACTGGGTTCTTTGAGGGTGAATGTGGTCGTGTCAATGGCAGCACATCAGATTTGTTTGTACCCAATCGTGGTCCTGAAGAATGGATTACGATTTTTATGAAAGACACCTGCCGTATTATTAATTTGGTACCATCGGCTAGAGAGACAATTTTGGGTATTGAGGGTATACGTTATGAAACTAAACCGGATACATATGATAGTGGTACTTTAAATCCGGATATGAAATGTTATTGCCCTCCGGAGCTAATGCCCGATAATTGTCCCAAACATGGAGCGACCGATATACGTAGTTGTGCCGACGGGGCACCAATGTTTATGTCACATCCGGGATTTTTATATGCTGATCCAAGTTATGCCAATACAACAACGGGCACCCGGGCAGATCCCGATAAGGATGTGTTCTTTATAACAATGGAACCGAAACTGGGCGTTCCTCTAGATGTTAATGTGGCAATACAAATTAGTTTGCACATTACACCGGATAGTGATATAACGTGAGTTGGAAATGAGGGAGGGGTTTTTGTCATGATGTTATTAAATTTATGAATTATCTTTATTTCTAGGTTACTCAAGGGTATACCCTCCTTTTATGCCCCGCTCTTTACTATCAATAGTATTGGTAAAATGACACCAGAAATTGCCAAAGAAGTTAAGGTAAATATTCATTGCGAAATCCTAAAAATTTAATTTCTTATAAATCACCAAAATTTACCTTTCTTTCCAGCTTGCCCTCAATCTAGCCGATATTTTCTTCTATACCTCCATCGCAATGCTGTGCTTGGGAATTCTAATAGCTTCTATCGGAATTTATGTTCAAATTGCCCAAAAATGGTACGAACCTATTGGTGATGAACGTACAATCATGGATAATCATTAGTAGGTAGAGGATCGACACATATCCCACCCAGCTCTGCACCATGGCATTTACTAGCGTTTGAAGCATTTGCAGCAGTTAAGAACAAATATCAAGAAATAGATTTAAGTTAATTCTAAGAATTTTTATACCACATTTTTGTGATTATTATTTTATAATTTATATCAAAGCCAAATGAATTAGAATTTTTTATATACGATCTCGGTGGAAAAAAATTGATAAAATAAATTAACGTGGAACAAAAAAAAAGTAAAACAGGTAAAATTTTTATTTTATTCAGGCCATTTTGTTTCGTATTATTATAACGCAAGTTAAAACGAGGTCAAGTATATAGGGGCTACGGTGAAACTTGGACCAATAGTGATTGATTCTATTTAGGAGGTTTTCTACTTAATAATAATCCAACACAAAAACCAGTAAGGAAAGTTCACAAGTCGGACGGGGCCGACTATATGATATCATTCTCCACTTTGGGTACATAGAGTATTTGGGGGATCATTCAGATGAAATCGGGCGAAATTAATTTGTGCTATCTAGATAGATATTTGAACCAATTGAAAAAAAACCCATACACATACCATTTTGAAATCAATGAAAAATTGTATGTCAAACGGACAGACTTCGATTTTTTGGTGTACCAATATATATGAGGCAGCTCTTGAGGTGTTTGTGAGAAAAATTCTCCGAAAGATCTACGGACCGATCTGCGTCGACGGTGAATATCGGCGTCGAATGAACCACGAGCTTTACAATTTATACGCGGACATCGACATAGTCAGTCGTATTGAGCTGCAGCGACTACGGTGGCTAGGCCATGTTGTGCGGATGAATGAAAATGCCGCAGCTCAAAAGGCATATAAAAATGAGCCTACTGATGGTTCCCGTAGAAGGGGAAGGCCACGAATTAGATGGAAAGACCAAGTAGAAAACAACATCTTGGAACGTGGTCTTCCAAAAATTCAACAAACCTTATCACACATCATTTTTTCCTCAATTGCATTCGCTATACAAAATTTTGCTCAATCGGGCAAATATTGGGAGTTTAGTGTACCATTCACAAACAATCGGAGCTATATCTAAATCTGAACCGATTTGAACAAAATTTCGCAGACATCAGTCAGGACTTAGTTCAGTTCTATGTGAAAAATTGTGTCCCAATCGGAAAAATATTGGGGTTTTGATGTATCATTCACACAAAATCGGACGAAACTTTATATGACAGCTATATCTAAATCTGAACCGATTTTAACAAAACATCGCAGACATCAGTCTGGACCTAATTCAGTTCTCTGTGCAAAATGTTGTCCCAAGCGGACAAATATTGAGAGTTTGGTGTATAATTCACATAAAATCAGATGAAACTATATATGGGAGCTATATGACGACCACAGAACAAAAACGCCGAATAAAATTGTGCAGAGCAAAAACGACGCAAAAAATTTAACAGAGCAAAAATGAAGCAGTGCAGCGTACATGTGACACTCACACATATTAACATTCATGCTCTCTTGTAGTTTTCAAGAGAATTACCAATCGCTGGTGGTTGACTCTTGTTTTGCCTTTTCATAGTCAAGCAAATCTAAGAAAATAAATAGAATGTAAATAATACGAATGGTTATTTTCAAAACGTTTTAAACAAAATTTTATGTTTGCAAAAGTCTTTTTATTAGAACAAAAATATAGCACATGAAAATACAGGTTTAATATTACTTTTAACACACTTTTACAGGGTTAATATTGACTTATAAAAATAACATCACTATGTGCATGCTAGTTAACAAAGTAAGGAAAAAAACAAAAAAATAAAATTCATGCTTATACGTTTTTGGTATTACAAATACATGTAGAAAATATTAGCTTTAATTTAATATCTTAAATACTGATGATATGAAGCTTACATACATCGATGTTTTGTACTAAATTCTTTAATCCATTTTTTATTGAGATCGATATTTATTAAAAATAAATATATTATAAATAGGGGGAAAACAAAGCAAAGTAATTCAAGATAAAAAAATTACCGTCTTTTAATTTCTACAATATCCTAAATTTGCATCGTTCCTTATTATTTATTTTCGCAGTTAGGCAGTTTCGGTATCACTCCCATCACAAACAAAACCATAATCAATTGCTTCTTTGTTTTCATATTTTAGGTTTGCAAAAAATGCTCTGCATTCTACAGGGATGTAGCACATAAGCTGCTGGAGATCTAAATATTTACATTTTGTTATAGATTTTCCATCTGGATATAGACACGCCAACTCTAACATTTCAAAATCTTCTTCGCGTACACCTCTTTTTAACAAACTGACTACCTGTGTTACCATACCATTGAACAAATTTAATTGAAATAGATTACTCTTTTCCAGAATAATTCTTCGAACAGTGTGCCAATTTATTTTTTGTCCGTTAATATCTACTTTTCGATTCACAATAAGTTTTTCCAACTCTTTAGAAGTAACGAAATCTGGGGTGTTCATTTCTTTAACTATAAACTTTGGATCGGACTTTTTGGCTTCCTTTATGATATTTATCCAATCATTTGGAGTCGCTACAATTTCAATTGTTTTTTTATATTTTTCAATTAAACTAAAGCATCTATCGCAACTGTTATAACTATGGCCCGAAATAAAATACTTTTGAGTTATACTTTTTAAATGGGATGATGCTAAAAAACGTTTTAATAAAAGGGCTACTTTAATATTTCGATTTTGACCTCCACAAGAATCGGAATACAGAATAACATTATCTGTTGAAGATGGTACATAATTTTTTAGATGATTAATTAAACAAGAACCGATTTCTTGCCCTCCTCTTGATGCAATACTTTCGTTCCACACATACATGTACCCTAAAAAAAACAAAATACAATATCTTCTTAAAATTTGTGTGATAACAAAATCCAATTTTATAGTATTAAATTCAACTAATTAAATGTTAAAAATTTAGATCACATATTTACCTTCCTTGTTAATCTCATCATAGACACACAAATTGTACGTCCACAGTTGTCTCTTATAAAATGCAACGGATGTTGTCAAAGCAGGTGTCTCCAATGTTTTTTGTAGGTCGAATGTTAAAACTATCGAGGTTCCATTGCGTTCGGCATTATTCACATCTTGTTTGAACTCCTTGTGTAAATTTTCAACAGATTCAATATGTTTCAATTGGTTTCTTTTAATTTCAGCCCTTTCCTCTTCCACGCCACTTGCTTTTAAAGAACACTGCAAATTATCACAGGTTTTGCATGTATCCGTATGACATCTTTTAAAGCCCAAATTGAAATTATTGTTGAAAATTTCGCTGAATACATAATGCGAAACAGGATGCTCATTTTTAAACTCACAGGAATTTTTATATTCATCGAACAGTTTATTTAAATTTAAATTTGGATGTAAGATTTTTTTTGAAGATTTCTTACGACTGTAATGCGATTCGTATTTTGGGAAGAGATTTATAAAATTAATGACTTTGCAACGATCTTGTTCCGATGTTTTATTTGCAGGAGCTCCTCGCCCGCGAGTCTCAGCAGCACTAGGATTTTTAATCATACTTTTCAATGCCCTTTCTATTCGTGATGGCGTTAAGTTCAAACATTTGATATAGAAATCCCGGCAAACTTTGTAAGAAACACCATCAGAATTTTCCAAACTGTACTGGAAATTCTGTCTCATTTTCTGTGGAATTATTGGATCGAATTTAGGAGACACAGGGATTTTTTTCACTGTTCCTCGAATCAGTAAGGTCTTTTGTGTCCAATTCAATGTTTTGTAAAAATTGTCGAATATTTCTTTCTGCCGTAAAATGTCAATTTTTTTACAGCAACCCGCCCCACATTTACAAATTATTTGCCCTTCAAAATTCTTTGCCGCAATTAATCTACCACCAGTAGTTTTGTGTGCATTACCACACTCAACATTTTTCTTTGCAATGGTTCGCTTATGGTTTTCCAATTTTGTTTGTCTTTTTCGTGGATAAAGCGTTACTAAAAGTTACAGAGAAAAAATTCCTTAGCCATGATATTTAGATATTGAAATAAAATCTAATATCTATAATAAAATATTACTTACCATGATTTTCATCTTCCATGTTTGCGGTCGAAAATATTCAAGCAAATAAATGTAATAATGTGTAGTAAGCTCTCTGCAAAGCATTCCTTTAAAAAAATAACGGAACAACAAAAAAACGATAACAAAAGAGAAACCGATCATGAGAGTCAACCACCAGCGATTGGTAATTCTCTTGAAATCTACAAGAGAGCATGAATGTTAATATGTGTGAGTGTCACATGTACGCTGCACTGCTGCATTTTTGCTCTGTTAAATTTTTTGCGTCGTTTTTGCTCTGCACAATTTTATTCGGCGTTTTTGTTCTGTGGTCGTCATATCTAAATCTGAACCGATTTTCAAGAAATTCGACACACATTATTCTAGACAGAAGTCAATACGCAATGCCAAATTTCGTGCAAATCGAAAGATGTATAGGGACTTTGGTACACAATTTACATTAAATCGGACGAAACTATATGGGAGCTATATCTAAATCTGAACCGATTTTCTCCAATTTCAATAGAGTTTTTCCTTGGGTCAAATAAGTGAACTGTGCCAAATTTCATCCAAATCGGGTCATAAATGCACCATATTCTTTGTTCACACCGACAGACGGACATGCGTAAATCGCCTCAGAAAGTGATTCTATGCATATTCTCAAAAGGAACCATGGGTCTATCTCGATTCCTTGAAAAAATGATTTAAAAAATCCACGCCTTATGTAGGCCTGGAAAAAAAATTATTTAAAAAATCCACGCCTTATGTAGGCCTGGAAAAAAAATTATTTAAAAAATCCACGCCTTATGTAGGCCTTGAAAAAAATGATTTAAAAAATCCACGCCTTATGTAGGCCTTGAAAAAAATGATTTAAAAAATCCCCGCCTTATGTAGGCCTTTAAAAAAATGATTTAAAAAATCCATGCCTTATGTAGGCCTTGAAAAAAATGATTTAAA